AGATAGATGTCCGCAGATGAATTAGGTGATGAAGAATGTAACTGTTGATATTTTTCCTCTCTTCCCAATGACCTGACTCATCGAACTAAGGTAATCATCGAGACAATCGTGTCAGAAGTATAATTATGCCTGATGTCTACAGTTTTTAAGTTTCAAAATGAAACATATAAACAAACTGAAAGGATTACAATGGTATCACTAATATCGCCTTATCGTCGCAGGCATATGTATGGATAGTAGAGAACGGATAGGCCTTCAAACATATATCCGTACTGTAAAGATGTAGTTTGGATGTGAATTGGGTAGTGAACCTGAGAATTAGAAAGTGAAGTGAAGGGGAGTTAGCAATGTTGGATTGGAAGATTAAGCGAAAGCAAGATGCAAGTTCAGGTACTGGTGTCTTTAGGAAAACTTTGCATTCGAACTGTTACTTAGACTTCAAATCATCTCATTTAAAGTAGGCTTGCTTAAATGTCTTACCAATAAGATGAAAGAACTCACCAGTAGGGCAGAGAATCTGAGACAAGATGACTACTACTCATAGTAGTGGTAGCGATCATGGTGATAGGGTGGAGGAAAAATTTAGAGCTAAGTCTAGTTTTTATTGTTATCATTTGTCGTTTGGGTTCCTAGTGGAACATAGGGCTTCAGTAGCACGTCTCCATCTCACTCTCTTCTCTGGATTCTTTTGAACTTGGCTCCACAACTGCCGACAAGCTTTCATTTTTTCTTCTGATGATTTCCTCCATGTCGCCCTTCGACGCTCAACACATCGTTTCCCCTCTGCATTCCACTCGCGAGTCTGATCTCAGTATATGCTCGATCCATCTCCACTTCCTTCTCCATATTTGTTGGGTAATAGGTTCTTGGTTGGTTCGTTACAAGCCAGAGAGAGTGAGTTCCTTGTTGCTTATTCTTATTAATCTGACCACCTATCTGATCTTCAGTGTCAGTATCGAGTGAGCGTAGGTGGCAGCTGTTGATGAATGTGTGTAGTTTGTTGTAAATGCTTTTCGTAACGCGCCAAGTCTCTCAACCATACCATGGAAGCACTGACTTGACATTGGTGTTGAAAATCTGGATCTCGTTCTTTATGCTGAATGCAGTAGATCTCCACACTGATTTCAGAATAATGAAAGCCTGTCTTTCCGATCCTGGCTGCTTTGACATCCTCATCTGTGGCGCTACCCCATGTAGTTGAAACGATGCTGCCTTGCCTAGGTAGGTGAAGGAGACTACTTTCTTTAGCTTCCTCCCGTTGATGATGGTTGGTGCCTCTTGTTCATGCTGTTGTTCGTTGTGTATCTTCATCACCTCTGTCTTCACTACGTTCACCTGAAGTCAGTCCCGTCTTCGCTACCTCGCCTCGCCTCGCCTCTTCTGTCAACTTGTTGGTTTTCGCTTGTAGATCCTCGAGTTTGTGCGACAAGACATTAGATATAAATCATCGTCGGCGGCGAAATCCAAATCTTCTTCTAGGCTCTTTTCATTGGTCCAGCTTGCGTATACTCATCTCACTCGTCATGGTTTGCTGCGTGATCCAGTCCACCACAATCAGGAAGCTCATCGGTGATAGTAGGTAGCCTTGTCTTACTCCTGTCTTTACTTCAAAGGCGTCACTGAGCTTTCTATATTGGATCACTTGGCATGTGGCGCCACGGAGTTTGTTAATTAAGACGAATGCAAAAGTATACCGGGTAGCGTACTATTCTCTACTGACTAGTTATTGTTTTTGCTACAATTGATCCAAGGTTCATTTGGCAATAGTCGATTATGATAACCAGGGTTAGATTACTTTATTTCAGTGGAATGAGTAACTTTTTCACTAATTGCTTTGTTGTGGCCTTTAGAGTTATTCTGATTCAAAGTAATTCTAAAAGTGAATTGGTCCAATCTGTAAATCGAATGAACCTTATCAGTTTTAGTCCCATATATTACAGTTACTATGTTCTGTTGTGACCAACAATGATAGACGGAAAGAAATTCATCCACAAGTGTATCGGTTCAAGTTGCCACATACTTTAAAGAAGCACTTTGGATGCCACCACTCTCTTATATCACGATATTACTTATAGTCTTGATAAAAATGCAAAGTATGTCAGGTGTGCCGATTTAAACTATATTTCGAGATTTGATTCTGTCCCAAGACCTCTTTTGCTGGACAAGCTACACGGGACAAATACTGAGTTCTGGATAATCAGCTGGCTACATTCTTATTTCTCTGATAGGAAACAACATATTGTTCACAGAAGGAAGCGCCCCACCTCATAGCTTACTGTGACCGGAGTTCCCCAAGGAGCCATCCTTTCCCCCCCGTCTTTTCCCATTCTTTCTGCATGACCAACCATCTTCAGCTGGTATTAATTTCATTAAGTATGATGACCTAATAGTTTTCATACCTACCTTCTCTTCAGAAGATTGCTCCTAACTGAATGATTTCCTACCTACTGTTAGACGATGCTTCTCCGAGAACGGTCTTATGCTTAATTCTTCAGAATGTCAGACCATAAACTTTAGTTTCGGACATGAACATAGCTAGCTTATGTAAACTGCCTAGTTCTCATGATTCCTGTTCTATTGATAGTTGCACATTAAAGAATGTTACAAATGTGATTTATCTTGGTGTTTTTCTTAAGACCTTTCCTGGTCTTCTTATATCTAATTAATTCCCGAAAGGATTTCTCGTCAAACTTTCTATATTAGGAAGCTGAAAGTATCTGATATTACTCAGCCTCTCATCTTATATCTTATAAACTCCCGCATTTTGCCTGTAATTGTCTATTGCTCCCCTTTATTCTTTCCTGAGTTGCTGAAAGAAGACTATATTATATTGCGCAAAACTTTGAAGATTGCCAGCAGAACTAGAGTGGTATACCTCTAGACTTTCTGACTGAAACTGTTGTGGATAAACATCCTAATTCATGTAAACATGTGGCATGAGTTATTTTATCAGATGACCAGCATCCTCTTCACTCAAAGCTCTCTGTTTGTCGGTCATCTGGAACGATAAGGAGCAAGTACATAAGACTTAATCCACGTACTACAAAATATAAAAAATCTACAATACCGTACGTATTTAGCTCGTTTGCTTTGCGATGAAGAAAGTATTAGAAATGAACTAACTAATCAACTTCTGTTTTTAAAAGTAAACTAATTGATGAGTAAACATCTTGTTACTATTTATGTATTGTGAATCTGAATATGAATATGGGACAATAAAGTGTGTCCGAAATGTTATCCAGTAAATGATACTGTTCCTTCACTGTGTGATATTTTTAATAAACAGACTAAAATGGAATTACGACTGAGACAAACAGTCAGAGATTGCGTGCACTAGTGCCAGGTATTAGTCTGTTCACCCTGAACCTTCTCTCAACCTAGTTCAACTGCCATTAGCATCGCACGTCGAGGTAGGTGATGGCTCAGCATGTGTAGGATATGTCTAAGCCGCCTACCTCAGTCGATGAAGTGGCTTGGATATATCCTTTTATGATAGAATGAGAGGGTTTGACCTGCTAAGACCGCTCAGTTAATTCATGTGACAGCATTTCTAAGTTATATAATTTTTTTTCAAGACTTACCTTCTTACAAATAAGCTAGGACAGAAGAAGAACAAGTAAAAAAGTTAAAATGAAGGCCTGCTAATATTTAATCAGTATGCCGACAATAAACCAACTCAAAATAATGCTCTATACGTTTATAATTCCGACCGGAACAGGCTGGGTGACTTCAGGAAAGACAAATAATGTGTGGATCAAATTGCAACGCTACGCTACGCATCATCATACCTCAACTTCATCGACTTTGAAAAGGCCTTCGATTGCGTCAACCGAGAAGTAATTTCGCAGCTGCTTCAACACTACGGCTTTAGTACCACAAACCTTTATCAATCTCATTCAACAGCAATATGCTATATGATGTTACAGACCAAGTGATTCACGATGGAAAGCTCAGCGACGCCTTTGAAGTGAAGGCAAGAGTAATACAAGGTCGCTTACTAGCACCGATCATCTTCCTGATTGTGGTCGACTGGACTGGATCATGCAACAAATTGTGAGGAGCGAGAAGATGGGCATACGCTGGCTGGAGCGATGAAAAGATCCCAGAAAATTTGGATTTCGCAGCACAAACTCGAATATCTACGGGCGAAAACTAACAATTTGGCAGAAGAGTCAGAGAAGACAGGACTGCAAGTGAACGTGGAGAAGACAGAGGTGATGAAGATACCCAACCAACAACAACAACAAAGGGATAAATCTGAAGGAAGTTGTCTCTTTCACCCACCTAGGCAAGGCAGCGTCGATTCAGCTGCAGGTGGAGGTGGCACAGATGAGGACGTCAAAGCCAGGATCGCAAAGACAGCAAGATAGGCCTTCATTATTCTGAAATAATCAATGTGAAGATCTACTGCACTTCACTGCACTCAGCATAAAGCGTGAAGATGAGGATTTTCAAGTGTTTCTATGTGATGGTTGAGAGACTTGGCGCGTTACGAAAAGCATTTACAACAAACTACACACATTCATCAACAGCTTCCACCTACGCTCACTCGATACTGACACTGAAGATCAGATAGATGGTCAGAATAATAAGAATAAGCAACAAGGAACTCACTCTCTCTGGCTTGTAACGAACCAACCAAGAACCTATCACCCAACAAATATGGAGATGGATCGGGCATACACTGAGAAGGCCGACTGTGGACATAACGCTCCAACCGGGCCCGACGAGTTGTGCGTTAGAGGGTGACATGGAGGAGATGGTATGAGGAAGAAATGAAAGCTTGTGGGAAGTCGTGGTGCCAGGTTCAAAAGACTGTAGAGAACAGAGTCAAATGGTGACGTGCTACTGAAGCGCTATATTTCACTAAGAACCAATGGAAAAATAATAACTGATTGATTGATTCAGATGAAAACTCTATAAATCCTTCACAATCACAATAAATGCAAAAATAATGTATATAAACGGAAATATAATACTGACAGAATGATAATCCTTACATCATCATCAAATATCATAAAGTTTGACACAACACGCATGTTATCACGATAAACTTTTGAATGATGAAGGAAGAAAGCAATCACATCTCCAAGTCCAGCAGAGAAAACTAACACAGGCACATTATTGTCATATAGTAATTGTAAAAAATCATCCACTTTGTCTCTGAGAGAAAAAAAAATCAAAAAAGTAAGAAAGTAGCCCATGTTCATCAAATACAATACCACTTCATAAAGACTGTCCAAATCAATAGGGAATTAGCTACTACACAAATACCACTAAATCTTAATACTATTCTTGATTGCATAACTCAATAAGTATCAATTCAAAATATGGGATATTTTTTATAAAGCTTTGTCAGAATTATATAGTGGTAAATAACTGCCAAGAAATTAACTTATAATTCAGCCGCGTATGCCAACCATCTCAGTTTCAGTGGACTTATTTAACTAGGAGTAAGCAGCAGTCAGGCATGAATATCATATATCTCGCTGAAGTTCTACATTAGGTTGTCCCCGACAATAGCTGTATTTCTCGACATGATCGCGGAATTTTATTCCGTCGATCGTAAAGTCATATGGCAGTGTTTCCCATTGAAAGGGGTACCGAGTAAGTACATCACCCTATTGAAGGTTCTTTACTCGAACACTTGTGAGCGTGTTAAAGCTTATGGAGAGATTTCAGGTGAGTTGTGTACATCGAGTGGTATCCATCAAGGATCCCCACTCTCTCTCTATTTCTATTCAACTTTGCCATAGATGTCCTTATGGAGGTCTTCCTCTCGTCGTCTGACCATGCAGAATTTCTAGTAGACCTAGAAGGTGAAGACGCTGATACAATGCAGAGTCTTCTGGGCACCTTGAGTTGCAATTCGAGAATCTTTGGGGTGCCTTTCATGCAACCCAAGTGCAAAATGTTGCTCCATGATTGGTCTTCAACGGTGCCCCATCGTGGCTAACAATAGAGATAGAAGTGGTTGAGTTTGTAGACCACTTCACTTACATGGGAAATAAGATCAAACCTGGTAGGTTAGTTGCCGATGAAATCTCTGCACAAATACAAAACGCTCCGTTGGCTTCCACCAACTTACACCACCTGCGGCGCCACCGTGATATCTGATTGTCTATCAAGGGTCGAGTGTGCTACACAGCAGTCCGGTCTGTTCTACTGTATGGCTGTGAAACATGGCCATTGAAGGTGGAAGACATGAGAAAGCTTGAAGTGTTTGACCACTGTTGCCTTCGTAGTATAGGTCGTATTTCGTGGTGTCACCACGTGAGTAACGCAGAAGACAGGTGGAGAGTTTTAGACAGGAGAGGTAAGACAGTTGATGTGGCTGTGAATCTTCATCGACTGAGATGGTTGGCTCCGATATGTGTTACATATGCCTAGTCACCGATTGCCTCGTCACACAATGTTGGCCGAAGTAGGTTCAGACTGAAAAAAGGCCTGAGGTGGGCAGACTGAAACATGGTATGGGATGAGTGTACGAAGTGTTTGACTGTTTGTTTGAGCCATGTGGGGCGATGCAGACTGGGTGGTTGGGGTCCGTGGGAGAAGAGGAACGAGTGGTTGGATAGTGACTCTAGGTGATATGGCTGGGAATCGATGTCAGTGGCGCAGATGTATACACACATTATCCTCAACTTTCTTCTTTTGATCGACTTTTCTTTCCTTCTCCATCTTACATTTTATTGCCTTATTACTCAATGTCCTGATATGCAGTATGGCAACTTGGACCATTACACAGCAACGCCTGGCTCTATGTTAATCTTCATAATGATAATCCATTAAGCATTCAGATTGACCTCGAAGTCATGCAGTTAATTCCACTCAAATCTTTTCAATGAAAAATGTTTAACAAGGCATAGCATTTATCGATATCTTTCGCTTTGTATTTTTCACACACCAGTTATCAATTGATTTGAAAACTGATGATTGCTTAAACTAATCATTGTTGCATAAGACACCGCAAAACGTGTGAATGATCAGAATAAAAGCAGAAGCTGGATACTAACACATGCCTTCATAAACTTGAGCCTGTATAGTCTAGGTACATGATCTAGAGAAGGGAAAAGTCCTGTACAAACTCACGTCATCGGTAGGATAGTAGCATGACTTATTTAAGTTCACACTTGCGTAGGAGACGGGGGAACCAGGTAGCACACTAACAGTGGCTGGACAAAAGTTTCGTTATCTCATAAGAAACATATTGTAATCTACGGATATCTGCAAAACATGATTCTTATTATCCGAGCTGGGATCATCTACAACCTGTTGGCCAACCCGTATAACTCTTCTTTGTGATCAAACAATTTGATTTGAGTATTCTATTCGTCAGCCAGCGTAACAATTTCTTCAGGATGTTCGGTTTAGACAGCCCAGTGAATGATACTACTCACTCCTGATTGTACATCATCTATTGACAAGTCTTACGTGAAAAGCCGTAATCACTGGACTCGAATGTCTCGGTTGCTTCAAGTGATCATTTATTCACTTCGTTGAAGATCGTAAAATCTATGTACACGGTTAGTTTAAAATTAGAATTTCCTTAGTTTCTCTAGATGGACACATTGTGTCCAATAATACTGCTATAAAGGAAAAGACCGTCTTTCAATATTTTACTTTTAACAGAATAACTTAATTATCCAAAGATGGTGAACAGGACTCTTTGGAAGAGGTTTTGAACAGTTGAGTGCAGCATAAAACCAACTGAAAAGAAGTCGACACTATAAACCTTCAAGTAGAGCATTTTAAACTTGAATATGAATCAGTGAACCCATACCTATTTTGTATGACGACTAATGATACTAAATGGTTGCACAAATCTCGAAAGGTGGGGTAGGTTTCGAACCCCTAACCTATTAGCTGGAAGTCAATACATACAAAGTTAATATACGTGGTAGTCTAATCAGTATATGAACATGTAAATGATTGACAAACAGTACAATATAATATCACTTTAAGAATTCTATAACTCACCTTAACATTAAACGGCTTTCTTTAACAGTTTTCTCTAGTGTAGCTTTGTGTAGTCCACATTCAACCATTGCTTTATGAGCTGATTCCCACCATTCTATCATATGTGGGATTTTTTCGCCTTCTGTCAAACTAACATCCATTTCAATAGGATAGTATTTATTTCGTAGATTCACAAGCTGTATTTTTTGTTGTTGTTAAGAATGAGACAGTAAACAAGAAAGAAACTTTTTAAGCATATTCCAATTTTTATAATCTACTACTTGATGGCTGGTACTGTAATCCAGGACACGTGTTTTTTCCTACTTGGGACTCATCAGCTGGATGTACCTGGACCTCAGTGAGTGAATGATACTGTTCCCACTGAAACTCAAACTTAGTACCCATCGCTTTAAACGCCAGAGTATCGTCTACTAGGAGACTGAAGTACAACAGCCACCTCAAATCCTTTATCATCAGCTTATAACAGTTGAAAAACCACCGAAATTAAAACAGTAGTAAGTAGTTATTTCACTAGAGATTGATACATGTTACAGGTGTATGCATCTTTAATTGTTTCTCAAATAAAAAAACTCATGATAGTCGACGACTAAGAGACGAAGATTCTAGAGAAACTTGAAGAAAATAGACAACACTATAGAGTCACAAATCAAATGATAATGATATTTAACAACCAAATACAGTCACATTCACTAGGCTATATGCCACGCCTACATTTTGAAGTGGTTCAAATATGAGTAGGTGAGGTCTATAGATCAGACAACTAGTCTCTAGTCGAATGGTACATAAGTGCAAGTTGTTATAATTGGTTTTTCAACTCATAAGAGAACTCTGAAAAATATACTGTACAAAAGAAATTAATCTAGTGCTAATTGGTGACTAGCTTCGACAGGTGATCCCCAAAGTCCCAATGAGAAGTTGTGACTAGTGAAGTCAATCAAGTCGACATTGGATGTAGGTCACGCTATATCGTAAACTAACAGAAGCAGGAAATGTGGACCAATGAATTCCCACCCAGTGTTGGCTCAGTGGTAATGTGCTGGGTACGGAACCTCAAGGGGCTAAGTTTGGTCCTTGGGAGAGTGCGGTCCTGGGTGCGCACTGCTGAGGAGTCCCATGCTAGAACGAAACAGCTGTCCAGTGCTCTCAGGTTTCTAATATTCCTTCAACTGATATCAGTTCATGATGAATTCCAACCTCCATAAACCTCCAGAAAGAATTAAATAATAGCCAATGCTTCGAATAATCGTGAATTTCAAGTTAACTTACAATAGATTTTGTCGGTTCAGTTAGTTCAGGAACTGCTTCAAAAATACCTAGAAATGTAATGGATGAAAAATAGTTTTCCAAACAATTTAGTTTACCATAGCAAGTTGGTAAGATTATACCATTATGACGATATTTCGATAGTGTGCGATCAAAATCTGTAACAATTTCCCTAAAAATAAACAGGAAAAGAATGAATTAGGAGGCATAGGAAAGGTAAATAATAAGATATTCATGAAAAATTAGCAGTTTTCTACATCGTCGACCTATACTAAATGAAAAAAGTTGGAGATTTATAGAGCACTGCACGCAATTGGATATTTCTATGAATACACTATTGAGCTAAAGTCTTCAAGGTGATAGGAAACTGCAATAATGAAGTGAAAAACGAAAATGAAAAGCACTCGGCTACTCTGTCCACATGTGTCTAATAGGCAATGAGCCACGCTCATTGTGTAAGGAGTCCGAACCCTCGACCCAATGGTTGATAGTCATTTCTCTAAACCACAACAGCACAGATATATACACTAGTTATCATCCACGAAATTATTAACATTCTTACCAACCTCAATTCATTTATTTCATACACTTTGATCTACTTTAGTATCATTCTCCTGCCATCCAGTCTTTCCTCGCACGCTGCAATAAAATTTGGCGAATATGAACTAATGCATCTCTGCTTCAGACCCCTAGTCAGTTATTATCAACATCAACAGGCAGCCCAGCATTACTGTATAGAGGACTGAATCCAGATACTTCAAGACATGACACAAGGCGACAAGATGAGAAACAAGAGGATGAACATGGTGCAATTGAAAGCCACAGAAAGCCATAGGAGGAAAAGAAGAGGATAAAAAGTAAACAACAAGGTTTGGTATAAAGATTGGTGATGAGAAGCATAATCTGTGGATGCATTAGCGCCACTGAGATGGATTCTGAGCCAACGGATTCAGATTGTAGGCCGGTCCCGCTCAGACGAAGGTTACTGGGTAAGGCAAGAAAGTTGATTGATGTTGTGAACCTTAGTTGACTGAAATGGCTTAGACGTGTACTGCGCATGCCGAGCCACCGCCTAACTCAATGTGCAATGCAGGGGGAAGTTGGATTAGGTTGGCAGATGGTTTAGAGTGGCCAGACCAGGACCCGACATCAGTCGATGTAGTCTCTTACTGTTGGTTGAAGTCGTGTAGGGAGATGCAGACTACCTGGTTGAGGTCTCCCAGACGACAGAAATGAGTGGTTGAGGAATCATGGTGACATGGCTGAAAATCGGTCGCAGTGGCGCTGATCTTCTACAGCTTGAATATTTGCACTAACTTTTATCTTCAAATTGTATACTCTCTCACACTACTTTATCGACTTTAATATCACTCCTTTTCTATCCACTTGTGTACGACGTTCTACACTGATGTTGTCAGTCAGTCACACAGCTGAAACCGACAATTGAATACTTCATGGACTGATATCATGTTTTGAAGATGCCCACTCATAACCCTTCCCCAATCTGTATCTACTCCAGTTTGCGTCACGCGTGACGGTGACTAGACATCCGTAAGACATGTCCTAGTTATTTGAGTCGATAAAACTTCACAGCTTCATCAAATGACCAAGCTCTTTCACTTATAAGTGTATGCCCATCATGTGCATTATTAAATGTTGGTTATATGAGATATTGGCAATGTCTTTAAGGTAACAATGGTCGAACATTTCATTGTCATTATCATCAATATCAACATGGGACTAGGCATTACTGCACAGTGGGTCCAAGTTGCTACATCTCATATCAGCCAGGATATCAAATAATAAAGTAATAAGGGCAAAGACAAAGAAAGAAAGTAAAATCGGTTAGAAGCGGTAGAAAGTGTGAAAAAATAGGAAATAGGAACGCGAAAATGTTGAATTCAGGATAGCAGTCAAGATGATGTTTAGATATATTTGAGCTACTGGTACCGGTTCTAAGCCGTATCACCTAGTCTCCAACTACTGGTTTCTTTTGTCACGTGGACCCCGACGGCTAGTTTACATTTACTAAAATGTCTCAAGTAAACAGTCAAGGACTTCATACAGTGATGTCATTTTTTACTTTGGCCGCCCCGAGGCTTTCTCCAGCCTGAACTTACTTCAGCTAACATAATGAGGAGGCTAGACGGTGACCAGCCGTGCGTATCACATGTCTCAACCACCTCAGTCAATGAAGGTTCGAAGCTTTGTCAACTGACTTGTGCATTACTGATGTGGGGACAACACGACACATGGCCTATGCTACAAAGGTAAGGGTGGTCAAGTACCTGAATCCTTCTTATGTCCTACACCTATAATGGCCATTCTTCACCGCTATGCAGTAGAATAGAGTGAATTGCAGCGCAGTACACTCGTCTAACAGACAATCGGATATCGCGACGGGGTCGAACACTTAGAGTTACCTTGTGTTCACTTTTAATGATCATGTTGCAGTCACAAAATAAGACAGGGTGAACTACTGTACAGTATACTGAATTCTTAGCGGGCAATGAAATATCACACCCTTGCTGTAAGTGGTCCAAGTCTGCAAAAATCCCATCGCACCTTTTGCAGCTATGCCAAGATTTTATCCCAAGTTGCTCTATCTCGCTACCTTTACCTTCATTCTGCGCTTACTGGTCACGGGATTCCATGACATAAACCTAAGCCTTGTGGAACAGTCGATCAACCTCTGGAAACAGAGAAAGCTATATCCAGGTCGGCTAGTGCATTCATACTACGAGTGAAAGAATATTTCAAGTAAAAACGCTTTTCAGAAAGCGAAAGAAATGAAAAAGAAAGACAACCATATACTTACAATTTATCTCGTCCGCTGTTAATAAGTGTTTCTAACTTCTGCCGAACAACTTGAATGTTTTTAATGTAAACTGTTGGAGAATTAAAGCTTCCCTAATCATTTAGAAGAGAGACATAGAATCAGATAAACAACACAGATTAAACTTACAATACTCGAGTTCTCCAAGAATTGATTTACAAGTTTAGAAACTGTCATCTGAGAAGTATTCACAATAGTTACAGTTATATTATTCACAGAACCAGTTTGAATGTGCGGCTGTAGTAAAGTAAGAAAACAGTGAGTAGTAAGAATACCACGCAAGTAATTCATAACTATGTATCGGATCAGAATGAGTAAAAACCGTGATAATAATAATAATAATAGCAGTTCTCGATTTTAAACATGCAATTCACTAACTCAGAGTATAGAATGACAATCAACTCTACCTCAACTTTATCGACTTTAAAAAGGCCTTCTATAGCGTCAACTGAGAAGTAATTTGCCAGGCAGCTGCTTCAACACTACAATTTTAGTACCACAAACCTTTATCAAACTCATTCAACAGCTATATGTTATATGATGCTACATGCCAAGTGATCCACAATGGAAAGCTCAGTGACGCCTTTAAAGTGAAGACAGGAGTAAGACAAAGTCGCCCACTATCACGGATCATCTTCCTGATTGTGGTTGACTGGATCGTGTAGCAAATAGTGAGGATCGAGAAGATGGGCATACGCTAGTTGGATCGATGAAAAGAGCCTAGAAGAAGATTTGGATTTTCCCGCCAATGATGATTTATGTCTGTCTAATGTCGCACAAACTCAAAGATCTACAGGCGAAAACCAACAAGTTGAAAGAAGAGACGAGGCAGCGAAAACGGGACTTCAAGTGAATGCAGAGAAGACGGAGGCGATGAAGATACTCAAGCAACACCAAGCACCAATCACCATCAACGGGAGGGACCTAAAAGAAGTTGTCTCTTTCATCCACCTAGGCAAGACAGCATCATTTCAACTACAGGCGGCACAGACGAGGATGTCAGTCAGAATCGGAAAAACAAGACAGGCGTTCATTAGCCTGAAACCAGTATGGAGATCTGCACTCAGCATGTGGAACAAGATCCAGATTTTCAACACCAGTGTCAAGTCAATGCTGTCATATGGTTCAGAGACTTGGCACGTTACGAAAGGGATTTCCAACACACTATAGACATTCATCAACAACTGCCTACGCTGAATACTGAAGATCAGATGGTCAGAATAATAAGAATAAGCAACAAGGAACTCTGGCCTACCAAAGAACCAACCAAGAACCCATCACTCAACAAATATGCAGAAGGAAGTGGAGATGGACTAGACATACACTGAAAAGGCCGACTGGGGAAATCAGGTGCCAGGCCAGGCCCTCGAGTGGAATCCAAATGAGAAACGACGAGTTGGGCGTCTGAGGCGAGGGTGGCATGGAGGAGATCATGTGAGGAAGAAATGAGAGCTTGTGGGCAGTTGTGGAGCGAGGTTTGCAAGACTGCAGAGAACAGAGAGTAATAGTGGCGTGTTACTGAAGCCCTATGTTCCACTAGGAGCCCAAGGGATAAATAATAATAATAATAATAATAGTAATAATAATAATAATAAATCCACTAACTATATGCATGTTAAATGTATCAGGTTGTGTGCTACCCTTCAGTGGCAAGACCCTACTAAATGGACTGGTATTCGACTGTACGACTAACCAGTTGAAAATCAAAATGAGTTTATCACTAAATGATGAATCAGGTGTATAACCCGTTTGATTGAAAATTCGAATTTCGAACTTCGCACAACTACTTTATGCATATTCGTGCAGTAGGCAAACTGAGCAAACTCCATAGTGCGAGACCTGGTTAATGATGCTACCTGGTTGCCCAGACCTCGGTAGGTGGAACGGTATCCAAACCCGTGACCCAGTGGTTGAAAGTCAACTGCCTACACAAGTGAGCTAAAACTCCACTCGGCTTTCAACAGACTTCAACCCACCTGTTGAGATTTTAGCAAGCAAGTAATAATAATATTCATAATATCACCATTCCTATCCCATATATTTTTTCTAGTTGATATTTCTCCCTTGTGTTGATCTAAGGTGTCGTAAATTTCTCCAGTGAGCGACTATATCTGACTTAATGCCGTTGGCATCTATCGTACCCTGTAGGTTATTACACCTATTGAATGCAAACTTTGCCCTGTTCAACAGCAGAATACTAACAAGCCTTGTGCATAGCGGATGGGTGCCTGCGTTTCAATGGACGTAAGAAAGATCTAGCAACGAAACCACCATGAGTGCTGCTGGACAACGCAAACACCAAAGCCGTGTTCAGTGAGAAGTTGGCTAGGCAGTTATCGGAACAAAAGACTGTTACCCATCCAGAAGAAGCTTGGTGCCATCTTCAGCTTGCAGTAAAAGCAACACTGAATACTGTAATCGACTCCAAAATAGTGGCTAAAAAGAGCCAGTGGATATCAGCAGCTTCTTCCGAACTAATGGATGCACCTGAAAGCATCCCTGCAGGTTCAGAGTACAATAAAGAGCGAGTCCAACTTAAAAGTAGACCGATGAAAAGTATACGCAACAACCGCGAACAGTAGTGGGCAGCGAAGACTAAAGAGATGGAAAAGGCAGCGGCGATTGATAACAGTAGACAGTTATTTAGACTTATTAAGGAAACTGGGGGAAAGATCAACAAAAGTTAGTGAGGCTATAGGAGAGAAGGGCGGATCTACGATTCACTCGCAGGTAAGACGACTGGAACGATGGGTAAAACACTTCGAGGAACAGTTTAACTGACCTCCAGAAACCTTTGTGTTGCCCGCTATCTAGTCGGATCCTGAATGGAACATTGAGATAGGCCCCCCAAGAAGTCGAGAAAGCAGTAGGCAACCTGAAACGAGGAAGGGCAGCAGGACCAGACAGACTAACTCCAGAGGTATACAAGGATGGTGGTAGACTGCTCTTAGTCAGGTTAACGGAAGTGTTCACCAGTATATGGGAATCAAATACGATACCCTCTGACTGGTCTAAATCACTGATTATTCCAGTCTTCAAGAAAGGCGAGAAGTCCTCTAGTGATAACCACAGAGGAATCGGCCTGACGAACATAGTACCCAAAACCCTAGGTTCTATAATTCTTCGACGTCTCAGTGGAGCTTGGGAACACCAAGCCTGAGAAAAACAAGCAGGCTTTAGACCTGGCCGTGGGTGTATCGACCAAATATTTACACTGTGCCAGGTCCTGGAACATAGGCACGCTTACAAACGCCCGACAATAGCTGTATTTTTCGACTGGAAGGTGGCATTCGACCCTGTTGATCGAGAAGTCTTATGGCAATGTCTGTCACTGAAAGGCGTGCCAAGTAAGTACATCGCCTTACTGAAAGCTCTCTACTCGAACACTTTTGGGCGTGTTACAGCCTATGGCGAGTTTTCCAGGGAGCTATACTCATCGAGTGGTGTCCGTCAAGGATGCCCACTGTCTGTCTCCATTCTCATTCAATTTTATCACAGTTATTCCCATGAAGGTCTCCCTCTCGTCACCTAATTACACAGATGTTGACCTAATCACAGGAGAATTTTCGTCAGACCTAGAATATGCAGATGACATAGTCCTGTTAAGTGAAGACGCTGACAAGATGCACAGTCTTCTGAACACTTTGAGTGGGAATTTGAGAATGTTTGGGATGTGTTTCTCACCACCAAAATGCGAATTGCTGCTCAATGATTGGTCTTCAACGGTGCCCCATCGTGGCTAACAATAGAGATAGAAGTGGTTGAGTTTGTAGACCACTTCACTTACATGGGAAATAAGATCAAACCTGGTAGGTTAGTTGCCGATGAAATCTCTGCACAAATACAAAACGCTCCGTTGGCTTCCACCAACTTACACCACCTGCGGCGCCACCGTGATATCTGATTGTCTATCAAGGGTCGAGTGTGCTACACAGCAGTCCGGTCTGTTCTACTGTATGGCTGTGAAACATGGCCATTGAAGGTGGAAGACATGAGAAAGCTTGAAGTGTTTGACCACTGTTGCCTTCGTAGTATAGGTCGTATTTCGTGGTGTCACCACGTGAGTAACGCAGAAGACAGGTGGAGAGTTTTAGACAGGAGAGGTAAGACAGTTGATGTGGCTGTGAATCTTCATCGACTGAGATGGTTGGCTCCGACATGTGTTACATATGCCTAGTCACCGATTGCCTCGTCACACAATGTTGGCTGAAGTAGGTCCAGGCTGGAAAAAGGCCCGAGGTGGCCAGACTAAAACATGGCACCAATGTATGAAGTGTTTGACTGTTTGTTTGAGCCATGTGGGGCGATGCAGACTAGGTGGTTGGGGTCCGTGGGAGAAGAGGAACGAGTGGTTGGATAGTGACTCTAGGTGATATCGCTGGGAATCGATGTCGGTGGCGCAGATGTATACACACATTATCCTCAATCTTAACGACGCTATACCTAACCTCACCATTTGGTCATTCTTCTCGTACTTAATATTTCTTTTGATTGCATTCTCTTATCTTCAACCTTCACCTTACTACTTTTCTACTTGATGTACTGATATGAGCTGTGTCAACTCGGACCGTTACACAGTAATGCCTGGACCTATGTTGATATTGATTGATTGACACTTTTGTGTACCCTACTTCAAGATACAACTACTAGACTAGAAAAAAAGCTGGTTACTGTAACAGAAACACGTGACAGAATGTCCATAAAACGGAGTCCAACTACGTGTGACTTCTACCATACAACATGCAGTGCGCATGAAAACATACGAAACGACAACATATAAAATCACCGAAATGAACATAACTATCCGACGTGCAAGTGAAAATAAACGATGTATGGCTTTTGACAGCTTTGAAATCAATGGTGAATTAAATGTATATATATATATATATATATATATATATATATATATATATATATATATATATATATAAGATAGTATTTATCCCGAACTGACATCAGTTGGACAGCCCTTCGAAATTTGGGAGCACTGGACAACTATTTCACTTTAGTATGGGACTCAGCAGTACACACCAACGAGCGCACCGGGGATCGAACTCAGGACCTTCAGGTCTCGCGGGGAACGCGTTAGACATTAACCCACTGGGTCAGAGTTCAATCGTTCACGGTTTTCCACTTTGTGAATTCGCAATGTAGTGAGAATATCCACCGAAATCTTCAGCTGATGTTCACTTCAATCCCGACTGATTCACCCAACAGGTAATGGCTTCTCATTAGAACTTCGAGATATCCATCTCGAAGCATGTCATGAATGAGCAGTATAAAGTAAGGTAGTTTGACGTTTATAGTATTCATCACGGAATGACGTTAGTTGGAGAACGAATTTAATGCCTAATTAGTTCGAATGAGTTGTGACGTGCTGGGTCAACCAGTAGGAATTGAAGTGGATACCATCTGAAGACTTTGGTGGACAGTCTCACTATTTCGCGAATTGGCAGAAGTAAGAAACTGAGGACCACTGAACTGTGACCCAGCGTTTGAGTGGCTAACGCGTTCGCCGCGAGACCTGAAGGTCCTGAGTTCGACCTCTGGTGTGGTCGTGAGTGCGTACTGCTGAAGAGTCCCGTACTAGGGCGAAACAGATATCCAGTGCTCCCAAGCTTCAAATGGTCCTCCAATTAAAGTCAGTCTGCGATGAATACTATCTTAAAAAGGAAATCCTCATAAACCTCATTTTAAGTTAAATATGTCTCATCACATTCAAGTAGGATTGTGGCTCATTGGATTGAAAGCTCATCTTCTACTCAGTAAGTTACCATCTTGAATACTGCTTCACTTACAGATGTTTGGATAGTTGAGTAGTACCACCAGTTCTCATAAACTAGATACGGCTTATTGAACCACATGTTATTGCTTATTCGCGAAATTCTTTAAACAATCAAGTGAAAAACAGCAGCAATTATGTAAAAAGAATAGTATCTGCAGAATAAAGTGACACCATATTAGTTCACATGAATTTTATCATCTGAACAAAACCTTAGTAAATAAGCGATCTATGCACAAATCTAAACATCGATGTATTATATTTTGGTACTAGTTTTTGCAATTAAAAGACAATGAAAGACATTTGAATTCATCGGAAATATACGGTATTTGAATCATCATCATCATTATCAACATAGGACCAGGCATTACTGCCTCACGGTCCGAGTTGCCACACCTCATATCAGCACATCAAGTAAAAAGGTAGTGAGGTGAAAGATGAAGATAAGTGAATGCAGTCAAAAGAAATATAAAGCATGAGAAGAAAGGAAAGAGGAGTGACAAAATAGTGAGATTCGGTATAGCGTTGTTAAGATGAGGATAATGTGTGTATACATCTGCGCCACTGACTTCGGTTCTGAGCCATATCACCTAGGGTCTCCAACCACTGGTTCCTCTTGTCCCGTGGACCCCAACCACCTAGTCTGCATCGTCCTACATGGCTTAAACCAACAGTCAGAGACTTCATACATTGGTGCCATGTTTTAGTCTGGCCACCTCGGGCCTTTTTCCAGCCTGAACCCACCTCAGCCAACATTGTGTGACGAGGCAATCGGTGACTAGGCATACGTAGTACGTGTCCCAACCATCTCAGTCGATGAAGGTTCACAACCTCGTCAACTGACTTACCGCTTCTCCCTAAAACTCTACACCTAACTTCTGCATTACTCACATGGTGACACCACGGTATTTGAATATATATGGGGGAGTCCAACTCATTGAACATTGTAAGGTTTCTCTTTATAACCATCGACACTACTTGTCAACACGCACAAGATATCCAACTAGCGAAGAATGAACCTATGCGCCTTTTTCTTCATGTACACTGAAGCCATGCAACTTCAACTGAATGGTGTTTTATGTAGGCAGTTAGATAGAATAGCTATGAGAAGTCCTTTGAGACATCCCTGTGGCACATTTGAAAAGATCGGGGTTGAAGTGACATAAACCAATATCTACCTTTTATGCATGGTACTTCGACGACACATTCGTCACCAAGCATCAAACACGCTTGATGTTTAATAACAGTCGTCGTGATATCACGTTTACGATGAAATGCAAGGAAGAGAAACAGCTAAATTTCATTGATAGATACATAAAAAGCAAGCATCGAGGTGTATTTGAGAAATGTAGTCGTCGTAAAACTACTTGTATTAGTCAATATCCAAACTTTAGTAGCTCTTGCCTGATCAGTTACAACGGAAACTTACTGAGAATACTATAACCAGAAACGAAGGAGATACGTTTTAACGGAAAACTAAAAGCGGAACTGAAGTTGGTCGAGAAATATCTACTAGACAACAGGCTTCTCCTGAAATCGGTCCGAAGACACTACATGAAAGTCAGTTGGAGACAGGATAATAGGGATGTAGAAAAAATGATTTCATTAAAACTGGGTTTAAATGGTAAAGACGTGCAAACAATAAGCAAGTGGACTAGAAGAGTCACATTAATGGCCTACTCAGAGACGGAGCTAGTATCACAGTGCGAAATCTGCTTAATCACTCATTGAAAAGTAAACAAGAAACTAATTTCTTGTATCTCTAATTCCTTATCAACTAACGTGTACGCTGGGCAGTAATTACATCAGAAGAACAGAACTAGTTATCTACCCAGATTCTTGAGCGTATATGAAAAAATCGGACTTCGCAGAGTCGTTTCATGCTGACCATCCAATAACCTAATACATGAAAAACAGAGTATGAAGGTGACATAGTAGATGCCTTTACTATTTTCAACAGATTTCGAACTACCTCAGTTTACTGAAACCATAGTCATCAAGCAAACGCAAACCAACTTGTGCTTCCGGAATAAAGTAGTAATTTATTTTTCGCTATTTTGTTAACGAGGAATTCTTCTCTTCAAGAGACTCACCACCTCTTTTGAAATCGTTCAAGCTTGAATTCCGCTCTTTTCCTACTACTAATCAACTTGTCAATATGGTTTATTACTACCTTATTAAACTTTTACAATTCTCATAGTTATTCAATCCGTTTCTTGACCCATTTGTCATTTTGGCATACATACTCTTCCATTTGACTACTTGTTCCAGAACATTCGCCTTCCTATCTTTGAACTTGTATGATTTGACTGAATTTATGCATCACATCTTTCATATGTTATGCTTCATTGTCTTTGTTAACCCATAAACTATTAAGACGCATGTTTACATCTAGATCGATTATTTACTTATTTCAGTCGTATTCACTTGAGGAAAATCCTGCGGAAAAATGATATTACTTGCTGAAAAACACTATCATCGTGTTCTTTAAATTGACCCATGGGAATAATCATATGGAAGGGAAAATACACAAGTGATACACGGCAGACAACAGTTAAACATTGTGAAATTATTACGTTCACGGACATATCTCTCTGCAATGATAAGACGTAGAATCTCTTAAGGGGTCTAAAAGACTATATTTTAGACAATGAAGTTGTGAACCAACTACATCTACCTGTTTTGGCATGTCACAACGATTCGCGTGAACAGCTTGGTCACCCTCAATGAAAATGATCCTATGCAGAGAAGAATGCCACTTCCGAAAGATTTTGCCGTTTCGAAAAAAAATCTCACCAACAGCTGGTCGCCACACAGGCAAAGATAGGTTTATTCTATTCTAGTATTACTGTCACAATTTTTTACAGCACAAAGTGCTGCTAAATAGTTTGAAATAAACGAAATATTTGACGGCTTCAATAAGTAAAAGACTTTATTGGGCTTCTAAGTGCTATGGACTGCAGTAGTGAGAAGTGCTCGGCAGGAATCTGGTTGAACTAATAAACAAAAAAAATCACCGAAAAGACAGTGATTAGAGCGAAAGAAATGACTTCAGCAGAAGAGTATATGGTGAATATCTATATATTTTGGTCATTTACACTCAGATGCAATGCTTCTGACAAATTAAGCAGTTTCTTACAGGTAGAAAAGTCAGTGAAAAAGTGAAGCTGACTAGAACTGTGAAGATAAACAGTTTACAGAAGACGAAAAACAGTGAGTTAAAAACTGGAATCATATAGGAGAAATCATACATATGGGTAATGAGAACTAGTTCTGAAGAATATAAATCCAAAAAATAAGCAATGAACGTGAACAAATGCTTTATGGAAACTTATCCACAAGTGTTTTCCCCAAAGCATAGGATGTAATATCACACGACTGCTTTACGCATTTCAGAGTTCGTAAGTTGATTAAATATTAGAGGGTTAGACAAGAAATAACCGTACGGATAATAAGTAGGAGATAAAGAAAACGTCAAACAAGCGGACAGAGGTCTGTGCAGATAACTTTTTAGCCACCCTATACACAAAAATTGAAATGAGAGCTGAAGTTGAAAAAAGACGCGAATAAGTATAATGCATGCCATTCTTTGTGCAGTTAAAGGGAAAAATTCTAAGGTGCTTTAAAAATTGTACATTGCCTACGTACATATTCGTCGATATATGAGGAGCAACATCTTTCCCCCGTGAAGGCTTTGACATTCTTTGATCTTCCAGTTCGAAGAAGCGACAGTGAGACTCCAATCCAATGCCTCATAGTTTATAAGCCGGTACAACGAACAGTAATACAATTTCAGGTAGAACTTGGTAGCAAAAAATGCAATATGGGATATTCAGCTTCTCAAATTCTGTCACTGTCACTTAGACTGCAACTTGTCAATTTGTTCGTCTTGGGAAGTCACCTACCAGAAAACTGGTCTTCACTTCGGACATTTTGAGGCATATATTGGCAACTTTACATTTGCATATCACTGTCATTCAACATTTAACCCAAATGAATGAAGGAATTTTATGAACAAAATGTTCAAACAATTCAAGGTTCAAAAACACTTACAGGTTATAAACTACGTGATGTTCACAGCAAAACAAAAACAAAGATTGTAGCATACCAAGAATTTTTAAATATGGATAGAATCGATCTTGGGCAACAAGTGGTGTGAGAGATTTTGTAATATACTGAGATTATGCACTAGCGATGTGATCAGTTACATCAACTACTTTCCTGTTCGATCTACTCATTATTGAGATTAAGATAGAAGATAGACGAATATGAACGAATTCAATGGTCGTTCAGATAATCAGCTGCGACAAACTAAGAACATTCAATATCTATAATATCTCTTACAGCATTCATAAAACAGTAAATAAGGCCACTTAAGACAGTCTAACTATTGACGAATCGATTTGTCGTAGTAATGTAGTTGCTTAAAAGAAATTATAGACCAACTGTAGTAAGGCAAAATAATGCTACTTATCATACAGTACATTTTCCGAGAAGTAACTGCATACTGAACACTGAAACAGCTAATCATGAAGACAATAAAACTCGAATAATTTAAAAAGTACAACACCATATCACTATCTACTGATGCTAGTCAGATCTGAAATGTTTCCTGCCGCCTAAATCAACAGTTCATGATGTCTTTTATTGATACCACATCTAATTTTAGTCACCTACAAGTTTACACTATTAGGTAATTACAGCAATCAGTGAACTTTGTGGCTAGTCATTTGCGAAACCCTACTGTGAAGCCATACTGCACTCCCCAACTGGAACCTTTTCATTCACTCAACATTGTAAACGTGGTTTTAACAATTGTAATTTTTCGAAGATAGTCATCCAACTTTATGCAACTTCCCTTTGCCTATCACGATCAGCTATATGGACAGTTAAGGCAAAGATAGGCAGACGAGTCAACGTAGAATCTAGCACAGAAGTGCAAAAGTTTGATTTGTCACAATCTACAGCAGCACAGGAAGTGGACAGCCAAAGGATGCTGATGTAGACAAGTTAATGAGCAGAGAGGGAACAAATAAATGAGGACTATGATGTTCGGAACTCCGAAGATTATAAGCAGCATACGTATAGGTGAATAGCTATGACTCATGTCATTGGCAATGTTCGGGGTAGAACTACAAAACTTTACGGTCGTTGAGTGACTACCACAGGACCTCACAGTGGTAAGTCAAGGGGCAAGGTGACTGTGTGGTTTTTCTAAGGGGCCTTGAATTATTCAAAGGGTTGCGTTGATTATAGGTAGGCTAGTGCGCGATCCTGATGGTGATAATTCCAACTGAATTAAAGGAAATTATTCCCCAAATTATCGTCTCATAAAGCTTTTAATTTAGAGGATGCGTTCGTGTATTCAGTGTCACCTGGTAGTTCCTCAACGACGGCGGGATTCTATAATTCTACCATGTTCAGCTGTCGATTTTTCATATTTCAGGAAGTCTAATCAGACAGTTTATACTTCCCAAACTAGCTGACACTAACAATCATATTTTATGGACTAGTGTATTTGGGTTTGAAAACCACCACCGTATGTGTGCAATGCTATGAAGGTAGATGTGATCTGAAACTGTAACCCACTGGATGAAAATCAACGGTTCAGGCTACTGGGCTTCAGCTGCATCCCGACTACCTGGAGCCGATTGATGGCAAATAGAACGCATGCCCAATTTAGTTGCACAATATTTGAAGGGCGATTTAGTAGATACGCATACCTAGCTGGAGCTGCAATTTTTCAGGTCTCGTTGAGGAAAATTGATAGGCTGGTCACTGTAAACACTATTACATTTGGTTGGGCTAGTAGTTTTCACGAACACCATAAAGAGAATGCTACACAAGCTAATATTGGCAGATTACATATACGTACACAAAACATAGGTAACAGTCTCGAAAAACTACCAACAATTTGTAGTACTGAAGATAATTACGGTGGCTATCTCAAACACTAATCACGAGACATTGGGACCTACACTACAAATCACAAAAGATCCTAGAAGATCCCGAAAACTGCCTTTATGAAGCGCTCTGGGGCTTAGACAACCCCAAACGCTTATGAGTAGGTGGTTTCAAAAATCAGAAAAAGTCAGCACGTTGACCTTCACAAGATGAGAAAGGTATATACGAATGGAAAAGTTGGGCTGCAAACAAATGTTATGACTAAACTAAGAGCGTGCACTATGGTCCTAAAAGACAGTAAACAAAAATTATAACCCAACGGAAATATAACGAACAAACTTCAGGAAGTTAGCCTGTAAAGAACAGATACTCTATACATCACAGACAACCTACCGAGTGAAGCTAAAAGTTATCCCAAAAACGAATGTGGCTGGCTTCAGTTTTCGGCCGACCTTGAAGGACATATATAATCGTGTTCAAATTGGTGCTATATGGAATGGAGTTCAGTGTACGTGATATGGTGCAAATAAAGGGATTTACTATGAGTTTACCTACCACTGCTGGTGGGAAATTAAAATGTTGCTCAGAATTTCGGATTCGTATCCAGCTATATGGAACAGCTGCGAGGTCTACATGTTTGAAGGGAGATATGAGTGTATATATTTGCGAAATAATTTATCCAGAATGCTGTAGACAACTAGGTTATTGCACCTTCGTATACGCTTAATGACCCCAAAAGGAATAGCGTCAATTAATTTCTAAACCCCAAATAAGTGTGACGGAATAACAAATTTGAAAATTCCTCTTAAACACTCTATTTGGCAGTAAAGATTTTTATTTAAGTATTTTTGTCCTCTTTGTGAATGTTATCCTTTAACCCGTAACGGTGTAGCATTATTTTGTCTCATGCACCTTTTCTTCGGCCTAACTCTTATTATTTGTCTTTGTCTTGACCGAGACATCCTCACTGCTGCACTTAGCCATTTTGTGGTGCTGAAGTGTTGGCAACGTGGCGTTTCTTTACTGTTCCCGACATTCTGTTTCGCTGAATACAAGGTTGCGCTGTGACCTGGCTGTAGCGTCACACACCCCCCAAAATCAATGGCCCAGGGTTTGACGAAATTCAACATTGATGCCGACCTTGATATTTTAACTGGACTCACTAAGCTGAAGGCACCTGGTCAAGCATCCTCGCCACTTGGCAGGCCGTAGTGTTACGTTGCAATACTCTTAATCAACCCTCTAGTCAGTTAGTTGGAACGCATCGGTACCTTGGCGCGACCTCGCAAATATACTAACCCATCCGACTACGCTGTTGTGTTCTCTCTTGGTCTCGTATTCGTGGGTATATAACAAGTTCGAATGATTAATGATTGGCCTCTGGGTCTGCCGAGTTCGCACCAGGACAATTCCTAAAACTGCTCGTCCCTCGATTGTCTACACTAAACGTCCATTTCTTGATTTGATTGTTGTATGTGGAACTTTGATACCATTTCGTTAGATGCATTCCTGTCTGTGATCAGGTAATTGACAGTTGTAATTAGGAAGTCGTTTTTGTTGCATGGTAAATGTTCTATGCCAGAGGACGGTTTGTACTGTACGGTTGCCCAGCGGGAATGTTGAGGTACCCTTTTTATTTTGGAGTTGCTTTTTATTGTTTATGGAACCAACAACTTGCCATAGACGCAACGTTAGATCATGTTTTGACATTGCTGAAATATGACCTTTTTTGCTAGTAATTCGAGGAGGCTTGGGAAACTGTACGGAAAAATGCAGTAACTTTGCGGTATCACGTCAACTTAGTTACGTTGAGCTGCTTCCTGTGTTCACGCCAAAATACTTGGATTTGGCTGCACGAAATAGAATCGAGCCAAAGCAAGGAACTTAACATGGTGATCAAGAGAAGCTATCATTCAGCTACGACTGAATTTCGGTCCTCAAAAGATTGAAATCTGCCTCGTTCTGGAGTTTGGCTTGCAGTTCGTGGGGAGGATTCTGTGTAGAGCTTATGTTGAGTGGATCGTTTGTGATGTCGGTTTGCGAAGATACGTCCAAGGTGTGATTTGCCTAACTACAGAAAGTATCAAGGTTCCACCCAAGCTACGCTTGTTTTTCGTAAGACATTTGGTTTCTTCTAGTATATTCGGAAGAGAAACACAGGCGTCAGGAACTATTTCACGTACTCCGACAAGTGGTGCTCCATAAGAGTACATCTCTCCCGTGAGGTGACCTAGAGGTCCATCAGAAACATCTCGAGTACTCCCAGAGAATAGTGGCGTAGCCTTACGAAGCAAGACGGCACTGAAGCTGGCTGATTCCCCTAGGCACTTTTCATTATCATTACCCGTGGCTACATCTTATCATGAAAAAATATAGAAAAGTAAGTTGAAGACAACCAGTAAAATTAAGAAATATTTATACAATGGCGGGTGAAAAGGGTGTTTTAAGTCGGAAAACTGATACTACGCCGCAGAAATCAGAAATAGCATTATGGCGTTGCATGCTTCTCAGGAATCAGTTGTCAAGGGTTCGATGACGTTCACCATTGATGCTGACCCTCACAGTTGTATCGGACTCGCTAAGCTGAAGGTACATGACAAAGCATCCAGGTCATTTGGCACACTGTTGTGCTACGTTGCACTGCCCGTACTCGACCTTCTAGTCAGCCAACTGGAACACATCGGTATCTGGACACGACCTCGTAGGTGTACTATTCCATCCGACCACGCTATTGTATTCTTCCTGGGTCTCGTATTCTTGGGTGTATAACAAGTACGAGTAATTAGTGACCGGCTACTGCGTCTGTCAAGTTCGCACAGGGATAGTTTCTATACCAGGTCAACCAAAATGGGAATCTCCAGGGTGAATATGTAGTAAAGTGAGTGATAAATCAGCGGTAAAAATAAATATTTTATTCTCCCATTAGGAATTAAACATGAGAGAGGCTGGTTTACGGGCATTATCGCCGTGATATGCGTTGAAAATGCTACTAGGTTTTACGGGTAGTGAATGTTGCAGAAGGGGGGCCATCGAACTCCGCTAAATGACCGGAAGATTCTGCTAGTTATGAAACAAACAACAAAATATAACTTTTCAGCATAAACAGAATGTCAAAGTTTAGATCGTTTTCTGTAATATCTTTTTCTTCACCATGGGTAGCATCACGGTCGCGTAAAATTCCACCTTTCCGCTACAAGCAGTCGACACATGCGACTTCCCTTCGTAGTGCCACGGTACGCCACACACGAGTCTTTTATGACATGGATTCTCATGCCCATAGCTTCGGAAATTTAAAGAACCCAAATAACTATTTCGGGAACTAAATAATCATGTAATCTAAGTGAGTATCTACATCCAAACTTTCCCTTTCTTCAACTGGTACAGCTCAGTGCAACATGGATTTACGCCATTAGAATTGGATGTCACGGTGCAAAGAAACAAATATTTGAGGAATTCCACGCCATTACCAGTGGGTTTTGCACACTGTCCACGTCAAGGTATGCAGCATTATTATGGAGGTATATATACTGCCAGACGAACCATTGGAGAAGTCTGTTGCACGACACCGTTGTGAGCATGTTTCCTTTGGAGCCAATAAGTTAATCGATCCCTTAGATTTAACCGTCGGTCCAGAGTTTCGATGCCAATGTCACCGTTTAGAAATGTCAACAGTTGGGGGACAGATAAATGTTCACATGGCGAAAGAGTCAAATGAATGAATGGGATGGATAATTTCCATTTATTAGACAGCAAATTTCGCCGCGGCCCAGTTTCATTCCTTCGGGAAGTAGTGGAATGGTGAGAATTGGCAACATATATCCCCAATGTGAGGGACATAATGAAATGCCAATGATATCTAGTAAAAGAGCCCATAGTGTGACTATTTATAAAGCCGAGATGGCACAATGGCAAACCACGGGATAGAGCAGCTCAGGCATAGCCCTACGGCACAACTCGCACTAGTGGGGAGGTTTCAGTTGGGCTGGATTTACCATATCACCAGGCGTATCCCCGATAGTGTCAGATTTTTGTCTGACGGACAAAGTATGAGTAGTTTCCGTAGTTACTGTGCGCCGGTGATCATCCGGATGTTTAAGGTACCTATTAAGCGGAAACTTTTGAAATGTGACTACAGTGGACCTAATGTGTTTGCCAGGCCTCTAGAAGCTACGGATTTGTTAAGCAGACACCCAAACTGAACACGTGACATACAGACTTCTATTTTAACTGAAGGTTGATTCCGTATTTGGAAGAACTTGATTCAAAGTAAATTGGCAGGCAGTGTTGCGCTTGTTCTGATTTTACTCCTGTAATGTATTCAAAAACATTTATCACCCACTTTGTTTGACTTCATTCAATTTGCCCGTACAACCACATCTAACTTCTTGTTTTGATCAGGGTTGCCGTAGTATTTCTTTTTGGATAGAAACTGCAGTAGCTGCTAAAATTGAAGGTTTGCAACCAAGCTTTGTTCATATGTTTCGTTGTAAAGAACAACTTTCTCCAAGTTCACTTGCCGTTTGAACACACGTTCGCTTCTTGGCAACCAATTGTTTTGTATTTGGTTGGTTTCGCCCCGGATTCCGGGAACTCTGGAACTTCGTATCTTCGATACATACTTTGCAGTGAATTTGACGAACAGGTAGACGTATCTTTAAACGTTTCCATTTCATGCCTACGCTTGTCTGAGTGAGCCATAGCAACCCATTGGTGTGAACTCAAGTCCATGACCGGGTAAAAAGGACATTTCATTCGTAATATTGAAATACAAAAGTACTTTTCGCCAGTCGTCTCATCAAATTGATTTCATGGAGTCTTCTGGGTTAGTGTGATCAGAACTGCACGATTTATAAAGTTGGCACCCAAGCAATCGATTCCAGCTTAAGGGATATATACCCCAATGCATAATCCCCCATACACCACGATACGAGTAGTCTAGGTTCAAAATACCTCTGACTACTTACCATCGTGAATTTAAAACCTATATAGATGCTGCCAAAAACGAAGAAACATTGTCCCAGTCGTGGTCTTACACAAGTTTTCCAAAGTAGGAGTTTGATTTCGTTGCGATGAAGTCTACTGGTCACAGAGACTAATCTGCACCGCAGATTGTTCACTGAATGTCAATTTACCAGGATACCTCACACCAAAGTTGATGATACTGTTACGGAGGTCGTCAAACTATTGAAAACATCAAAAGATTGTGGTTATGAGAGGAAGAAGAAAATTGTACTTTACATAAGAGCGTCAAAGTGAAGACAGTAATAATTCGTATTCTCGTATAATGGATTTAGCATGAGTGGTACTAGTTCACAAGCAACGTCAAACTGATAGTTCTTGAAAGTTTACGGAATGGTACTTGGCATTATATAATCCACATACCAAGTTATTGATTTTTATGACCTCACTAAAACTTGCTGAAAATCATGAGACGGCCATGAACTTCCACCTGCCGTTGCACAGATAGGTTCCACCACCAGTGACAAAAGCGCGCAATGTTAGAAGTTTGCGTTATAACCAGCCGACGTTGTTAGTCCATCTGCGCACTTTGTTATTTGGTAATATAACCGTCAATTCACCAGACAGTTCTTCAGTTTTTA